TTGTTCCCGTTACCCAAACCCAACAGCAAAACCAGAAACTTGTAACGACTCTCTTCTGCTTGTGTAGGATGCGGGTCATAAAGGGACCCTCCTCCCTCTGACATTGGGTCATTTAGTAGAAAAAAAGGTGCAGAAGCTCATTAGCATAACTCATTAGCATAACTTATTTGCATATGCCACACCCCCTGACATCACCGGAAGTGTGTCAGAAGGCAACACCCACCGCTCAGGCTCCACTGGACAGTTTTGGATTGCTAGCTATTGGGGGGGGGGGGGCGGTGGAGGTTGTAATCGCAGGGGAGGGAGAGCTTGTACCTGAATAAAACTTAAAGGTGCCACTGGACTGTTTTGGACCGGGGGGGGCAGGGGGAGCTCTGCAACTTACCTGGCTGCTTCTTGCTCTGACTGAGGGCTGCTGGGAGCAGGGGGTGGGGCTTGTTGCATGTGCCCGCCCTCTGGGCTCTTTACTGCTGGAGCTCCGCTCCTGTGCGCTCCTGCAGGAAATGACCCCTGGGCTTACCAAACACAACCTCCCTCAGGGAATGGGAATCAAGTGAGATGTAGAGTGAAAAAGCACAAGACAGCAGTGATGCGCAGAGGACTAGGACTATTCTCTTCCCTGACAAGCACCAGCACGGTGTAGTGGTTAAGAGCAGTGGACTCTAATCTGGAGAACCGGGCTTGATTCTCCCTACCTCCACATGAAGCCTGCTGGGTGACCTTGGGCCAGTCACAGTTCTTTCAGAACTGTCTCAGCCCCACCTGCCTCACAAGGTGCCAGTTGTGGGGGAGAGGAAGGGAAGGGGATTGTCAGCCACTTTGAGACTCCTTAGGGCAGAGAAAAGAGGGGTATAAAAACCAACTCTTCTCCTCTCCTTGGCCAGTGAACTTTCTGCGCCAGCCTGTTTATTCTCCACACGGTGACAAAGCAACATTCACAAGGGCCTTGTTCTGTTCTGGATTGGAACCCGCCCTCCTGCCACCCTTCCCGCCTCACTGCCAAAGCAGGAAGAGTGAAAAAGCACAAGACAGCAGTGATGCGCAGAGGACTAGGACTATTCTCTTCCCTGACAAGCACCAGCACGGTGTAGTGGTTAAGAGCAGTGGACTCTAATCTGGAGAACCGGGCTTGATTCTCCCTACCTCCACATGAAGCCTGCTGGGTGACCTTGGGCCAGTCACAGTTCTTTCAGAACTGTCTCAGCCCCACCTGCCTCACAAGGTGCCAGTTGTGGGGGAGAGGAAGGGAAGGGGATTGTCAGCCACTTTGAGACTCCTTAGGGCAGAGAAAAGAGGGGTATAAAAACCAACTCTTCTCCTCTCCTTGGCCAGTGAACTTTCTGCGCCAGCCTGTTTATTCTCCACACGGTGACAAAGCAACATTCACAAGGGCCTTGTTCTGTTCTGGATTGGAACCCGCCCTCCTGCCCCCCTTCCCGCCTCACTGCCAATGAAGGAATGTTGTTCATTGCTTTCCTTCCCCATTCTTGTCCTTCACAAATCAAGGAGACCAAGGCAGGCTTCGCCATTTCTTCCGGGATAGGCATTCTGCCCCTCCCCTCGGCCAGGGGATAGGCATTCTGCCCCACACACGCACACACGCACCCCACCGCAACCAGAAAAAGAATCCAGTCTGGTTCCTGAATAGCCATTTAATTTGAAACCCCCCCCCCCCAAATCCTTTGGGCTTCTCAGCCGTTCGGTTGTATACCCTTTCCCGTGGCTGTGGTCCTGTTACGAGTCTAACACTGTCCCGGATGGGAAAGTTTTAAAAAGTAGTTAGGGAGAGACACTTGGCTGAGAAGTCCCCTCAGCCGGTGTCGGAACCAGATCTCCAAGGCACCTCGGCAAGACTCTTTAAGTTGTGGCAAAGAGATTCTGACAGGAGGGACTACCTGAGCGAAGCAAGTCCATGGGGGGGAAAGGCGGCAGACAGGCTGGCTAAAGAGAGAACATACCTGGGCTTGTTACGCTGGGTAATCTGGAAAGAGAAATCAAAGGAACACAGAGCCAGAGATAAATGGCCCTCCTCTGTTAGGCACATATCTACAGAGATCTATGCTTAAAAGATGAGAAGGTGGGCCCTGAGTGGGGGTAGAGAGCCAAATCATACCTCCCCCCAATACCTTCTAAAACAGTAGCTCACGGGGCCTATCAAAAGAGGGGGAGGGCTAGGTGACCTAGGTACTCCTGAAATTCAAGCGCTGCTTTCAAGCTGTTCTTTCACAGCCCCGTCACCTGAATGTGCTAAATACAATCTTAATTTTGGCTCATCAATGGATCTAAATTCCCCTATTACTTGAGGACACCTGAAAGTTCTGGAAAGGCACACACGTATTACTGAGTGAGCGTACCTTTAAGCAGAGGTCATTTCGGGGGGGGATTGCGGTTCCCCCGGGTGAGGTACGGGGGGCGGGCACATGACGAAGCCCCGCCCCCTGCTTCCGGCCACCCTGCTTCCGGCCCTCATTCAGCCAGGAGGAGGCAGGAGAAGAGGGAGGGTAAATTGCTTCCTCCCTGCCGCTCCCCACTCCTGCCTGCCTGGGGCCAGGGAGGGCCTTCGCGGGGCTTCCTTGCACTCCCGCCAGCCTTGCAGGTCCACCGCCAGGCCCCTCATGGGGCTCAGCAGTGGAGCTGCAAGGTCGGCGGCGGCCGGGACCGTTGGGGGCGGGGTGTGTGGCCTTATGACACACTTCCGGTGATTTCAGGGGGTGTGGCATATGCTAATGAGCTATGCTAATGAGTCCCCCTAGCTCTTTTTCTACGAAATGACCCCTGCCTTTAAGTATGACTTAGGATCACTTTGCTTGTTTGGGGCTGCAATCATAGGTTGGAAGTAGCACATAATCTGTGGCCAAGTTAGCTCACAATGTTGTGTTACTTTCAATGCATATGCATAAAGGAAAGAACCTTCTTAACACGTTTGGGTTTCCTGTTGACCTTAACAGGTCTCCTGTCCTTTGGCAAGATAATAAAACTTTCCGTCGCCACCCTCCATTTTAAGTCCTGCAAAACAAAGTTGCAACCGATGCATTTACTAATTTGATGCCCCTGGGGCATTCCTGTATTATGCACAGATATTTTTAATTAGCACTCAGTTATGACTGATCACTTCAGCACTTTCATGATAAGCTCTTTGCAGGGTTCCAAGAGAATGAGATTCGTTTCTGATCACAACACCCTGGGGAGGAGATGGATTACAGTGGTCGCATCCAAATATGCATCTAGATTTTTACTTATTTATTTCTTTGGCTCAGACTTGTTTATCGTATCATGCCAGATATAAAGTATGGGGATAATAGTATGTAAGACCAAAAAAACACCACTCCATGATCAAAGTGTGCCGCTTTGCAGTTTACATACTTTTGCTCACGGGGGAATCAAACTAGGCAGAAGCGTGTGCCCGGGCATTTGAGATTTAATCCAGTTATCACATCTGTGCCCCATCTTCTCTCCCAGGAATCACATGCATGAGGATTATCCCCTTTAATCCTTACAACAACTCTGTGAAGTGGATAAGGTGAAAAAACAGTGACACACGGTGATGAGATCTGAACCCAGATCTGACTCGCTAGCCCCAACCCTGCACTGGCTCTTGAGTGCCTCCTTATTTAAAAGTTATGAAATATATCTTAACAGGATCTGGGAGACCCACATTCAAGTCCCCGCTCTGCCACAAAAGCCGGGCGACCTTGGGCCCATCACTCTTTCTCCCAGCTTCCCTCCCTCACAGGGTTGCTGTGAGAATAAAATGGAGGAGCGGAGAATGACGTCAACTGCTTTGGGTCTAAACTGGACAGTAAGGGAGTGCACAGGAGGTGCACATGTAATGGGTGTGTGTGTGTGTGTTTGTGTGTGTGAAATCCTGGCTCCATTTGTCAAGAGCTATTATCGCCCTTGGATAGCTCGACTATTTCTATCCAGGAAATGTCAGCTAATCTCCTTGGACTATTTTTGAAAGAAGAGGGGGAGAAAAAGACTAATGTGGTTGTGGCCCAGTGACCCCAGCCAACCAAGGCACCAGTTTTACCTCCTTGTGTGACTGATGGGCCCTTTCCAAACTCTGGGTAAGGTTCGCCTCCTCTTTCTCAGCGACATACTTTAAAGGGCAGACATCTACTGACAAAAGCTTTACACTGCCTGTCTTACCACACAGCACAGGCTGAAAACAAATAGGGTTTGGAGATATATATATATTATCGGAAAGGATGCACGTTGAAAGGACTCCCTAGCAAACTGGTGGTCTTGTTATAATATCTCAGTCTTAAAAGCACTAACCTAGGGTTACCATACTTTGAAAAGCAAAGATGAGGACCTATCACTCGACTGACTACTTCAAACAAGTGGCCGCTATGCCCAATCTCATTTTGAGTACCCCTATTTAAGTTGTGAGAATTGCTACTAACTAGGCACATTTCCTAACCCTAAACTTCCAGCCTGAAGAGTGGTCATTTCTACCAATTTTCTAAAAAGAGCCCGAAGAGAATGGACACCGAAAAAGAGAGGACATGTCCTTTAACAAGAGAACAGCTGTGAAGCCTAACTAACCAAACAGCGGTAAGTGGCATTACTCTAGAGTAAGTGTCTGGATGCTAACATCGTGCTGGTCCAGGGTACAACGTTAAACCTTTTCAAAAGACCCAAGCGTTTCAGAGAATGCCAACAGCAGAACCACCCTCCTCGAAGGACTAAAAACCATCTACAAAACAGGGCAGCTCACAATAACACAACGTCAAGCTCGCTTATCTCTTCTGTTTCTGCAACAGCTGCAAAAAGTCTTTTGAAAGACACTTGGGGGAACTTTGGCTTCGATCTTCCGGAGGGCTGAAAAAGACCAGACTCCTCTTCCCCGTCCTCGCTATACTCTTCAAAGTTCACCGTAGCCGATTTGCTGGCCAAAAAAAAAGTGTGCAAACGCTGACTCCCCAGCGTGCACTGCCATCACTGCGCCGAGAGAGGAGAAACCCAAAACTTTTTTACACACCGGCTCTTCCCCTTACCTTGTACTTCATCCTTGCAAGCTCGGAACGAGGTCCCCTCCGCGAAATCAGTCCGAACGCATCGAGACCGCGCGGGCTTTACACTCCATTGAATTGCCCCCTAAAAAGAAGGGGGGAAACCATAAGCCGCGCGCGAGTTTGCGGCTGCAGATTTTGCAAACCCGACCCGGGTCGCTCTCGGCGCGGCTAAGTTCCCAGCGGCTCTGGGCACATTGTTGTGCTCGCGACCAGCTCAGCACTGAGCTCATCTGCATAGCGGCCGGCGATTGGCTGAGAGAGCCAGACGCGCTGAGCGGCGAGGTAGAAGCCGCGCTCCGCCCCCGCACCGCAGGAATGAGCGAGTCCCGGAACGCGAGTTGCTACCGGCGGGGGCAAGAAGCAAAACCCGCGTGTGGTTATTCCCCCCCCCCCCCCCCCCATCTCTCAATTCAAAGTGACTCTAATATGCGAGGCCTGGCAGGGTGCTGCTTCCTGTGATCTGAAACCGGATTCATTTCATTGCGAAACTTTTCACCTCTCTCAGTACCTCTGTGCAGTGGGGAAAGGTTTCTGTGTGCACCCAGCTTTTAAAAAAATTGACTGGCTTGTTGCCTGTTGTGGTTCTTGGGGGGGTTCCCCCCCCTTATCTGCAGAGTTCTTTTAGGTGTCACTCTCAGTTTTTTACAAAAAGCCTGTCTAAGGCAAATTGGCTTCAGTGCATTCTCAAATCTCCCGTCTTTCAAGATATATGCCAGTCAGTAGATATGGAAACCCACAGATTGGGCCCACACTGACAGAAAGGAGATTTTTCTCCAAACTTGGGAGACAGATAGTGTACCTGAGCAGCCTCCCCTCAATGCGGTTGGCCGCAGTGCAGCAGGTCCTGGGGACCCTGCCAGCTTCTGGAGCATTCTCTAATGGCCCGCCCTGGCGCCTCACTGTGCCTGTGCCAACCGCCATGCCAGCTCTTCCTTCTGCTTCCTGCTGCAGCTGAGCAAGGAGCACCAGGAGGAGCCACAGAGGGTGTGCTGGGCCGTGGCGTGCCGGGGGTGTGGTGCAATGTTCCCTCTAAGCTGTGGGGTCTTATGAGCAAAAGTTCTGCTTCGTAAGCTACCGGCATGAAAGCTGTGAGCGAGCGATTTGGCTGCTGCATAAATTGGTTTGCTCTGGAGCCCTCCTTCCTGAGCTAAGACAAACGATGTGTGAGCCAGAGACTAAAAAACTGTGAGCTAGCTAGCTCACACTAACTCAGCTTAGAAGGAACACTGGTGTGGGGGTGGGGGGGTCTGACATCCTCCCAGGGAGGGCTGGGGGTCCTCCATGGGGGACACTGCCTCCCATAGCAGCCTGTGGCTACAGGCCTGGCCTGCAGGGATGCCACGTGGACGGCAAGCAGCGGCAGCCATTTTCCTGGGCTCCCTTATTGCCCCGAGCTGCAAAAGCGGCAACTGCTAAGTCAGGGCAGGTGCTTCTTTACGGTGTGGTCCTCCTCCCGCCTTAACTATTGACTGTTTTCCTAATGAGATGCTTTCCTAATTGTCCCAACCGTTATCTCTGCAATCCAAAACTCCAAGGTACATTTTTAATTTGAAAAGTTTCCATTTACACGTTGATCAGGTACCGGCCTCGGTTTAAATAACTCAAAAAAGCTTTTTAGTCACCACTTTTAAAAAGCGAGGACCCGACTGGAAAAGCCATCTGGGTTCATGCGGGGGCAGGACAGAGATGAATCAAACGCTGAAATGCGATTGCTGTTATTTATAACTGGGCCTCTTTCTTAGGTCTAGATGGTTCCTGGCCAGACATTCACTATCTTGACTGGAAGGAACTCCAGCCAGCCAGAATCATTTGGACGAAACACCCTCCCGTCTGATTCTCAATGCATTCCGCCGGTGTGAGCCCCACCGGCTGCAAGTTTGTTTCTTTTATTCTGACCAACTTGGACTTGCACCAGTATTTCTAAGGCACAGATGCTCTCGGATTGCTTCCAGTGATCTAAAAATGAACAGTAAGCTGGATTCTGTTACCAGATTACGATACAAGGATTCCATTTCAGAGTAAGATACGGCTGGCCCTTCTGGGACTATAGAGAGGGATTCATCTCAGTCCAGGCCTACCTCTGCCCCCTTCTTTATACAAGTGGCCATAATCCTGCCCTCTTTGGCGAACCATTTTGTGCTAAAATATCTGAAGGAAAAAACTGAACATCAATATATGCAGGGCTATTTGGGGGCAGGAACACACAGGAACGGAGTTCCGGCTGGCTTCCGAGTTGGCCACGCCCAGCAGGAACTCATTAACATAATAGGCCACACCCAACAGCAGAAACCCATTATGATTGGCTACATTAGGGGTGTGTGGCCTAACATGCAAAGGAGTTCCTGCTACAAAAAAGCCCTGGGTTTTGACAACAACAAACAAGGTAAACAGAATAACAAGCAAAAGGTGGGTGTGGATGGATAACCACACTTCTGGTAACATGGGGGTGCGGCCTAATGTGGTAATGAGCTGTGCTGTCAGGGGTGTGGCCCAATATGCTAATGAGTTCCTGCTGTTGGGTGTGGCCTATTATGCTAATGAGTTCCTGCTGGACTTTTTCTACAAAAAGAGCCCTGAATATGTACACAGGGGCCAAAGTTAAATTATGAAGCTTTTTCCAGTACCCCCTCTCCTGCTTGTCCCCCTTTCGTTCTTTGGTCTCGCTTCAGTATGGCTGCATAGGTAGAGTTTCCAACCTCCAGGTGGGGGCTGGAGATCTCCTGGGATTACAACTGCGCTCCAGACAACAGAGATCAGTTCCTCTGGAGAAAATGGCCGCTTTGGAAGGTAGACTCTGTGGCATTATACGCTGCTGAAGCCCCTCCCCTCCCCAAGCCCAGCCCTCCCCTGACTGCACCCCCCAAATCTCCAGGAATTTCCCAGCCCAGAACTGGCAACCCTAATGTCTATGTGCGTGAGAATACATACCAGTAACAAATATAGCTCAGTTGTGTTCTGTCAGAACCATTGTGGAATTGGGAAAGGTCTTGTCAGAAGTGATTCTGTCTTGATGATTCCTTCCCCAGAGAAACCAACAGGGCTTTTTTTGTAGAAAAAGACCAGCAGGAACTCATTAGCATAATAGGCCACACCCAATAACAGAAACTCATTAGCATATTAGGCCACACCTCCATGCCTTCCCTTGGCTTGCCCATGTGCAAGGGCCCGGGCAAGCCAGCCCTTGAACAGGCCGGGCCCCCCTGGCCCACCTACCTCAGAGTGGCCGGGGCGTGTCACTCTCCAGGCCTTCCCTCTGTAGCCACACACACAGAGGTTTTGGCTGTAGTGGGCGTGGCCAGCTCTGAAGCCAGACGGAACTCCGTTCCTGTGCGTTCCTGCCCAAAAATAGCCCTGGAAACCAACAAGACCGTACCACTACCAGGGCTCCGGAGTTGGGTGAAAATCTTTTCATTTAAGACAAGCAGTTGAGAATGACTGGCTGCAGCTGAGCTTCCTCTTCTCTTTGATTCCCTCCAAGCCCTCAGCAGCTCTGTTCTCAGCCATTTCTCCATCAATTGGTCACTTGTTTCCACTGAAAGAAACTCAGTAAGAAGTTGTTCTTGGTTCCCTTCTGTTCTCTAGACTAGAGAGGAAATTTGGGGTTGTTGTTTCTCAGCTAGAACAATACGGAAAAGAATGCAGTAAGGGGGGGGAAGCATACTCGCCATTTTTCCTTTTTTCTGTTCAGTTCTGTAGTGTATTCAAAGCTGCCTTGAATGCATGATATGTTGTGAAACATCTAATTGAAATGCTATGTAAAGCTTCTTCCTGGGCTAGGATCCAAATCCATCCAATCGTGTTACTAGCCCAGGAAGCACATAACCAATCACCTTCTAGCAGGCTCCCTGAGCGGGAACATCCGTGATTGGTCCTTATGTGAACAACCTTATTGGTTGGTATTTGTACAGTGAGTGGGTGTGGCTACATGAGCCAGGGATGTTTAAAAGCAGGACAGCTGCAATGTAAAGGCTGTTCTGGCTATCTGATGTTGATCGGGAATGTTTAAAAGCAGGACAGCTGCAATGTAAAGGCTGTTCTGGCTATCAGATGTTGATCCGTGTTGGAGTTGTGTTCGAGTTGAAGAATAAAGTTGTGTTCTTGCTGAATCACTCTCCGACTGCTTTGTTGTTGTTGTTTTTAATATTTTTTTTACTTGCATCATAAATTATTATTACATTAGTTTACCATCCCAATTCACTTATGATACATTTCCCCCTTTTTATATCCCACCCCCCTCAAGGTGGCCATCACATAACTACAAATTAAAATTTTAACCATGAGCACATTTTTTTCAATTTTTCAAGTATAACGGAATTAGCTACTCTCCGACTGCTTTGTTAAGCGAGCGACTTAACAAGTTCTGTTCGCGAATCTGTTACCACAGAATGTAAATATGTATTGTTTAAGAACAAAATTTACTTACGTACTCTGTGCTCTGAATGCACTGCCCTTGTGGGACCTCATTGAATCCCTTTTCATTATCACATATAGATCAAAGACACCCAGTAATGTCTTTTTACCTCAACCTCCCTTCCAGTTTGGTGTAGTGGTTAGAAGCGCAGAGTCTAATCTGGAAGAACCGGGCTTGATTCCCCACTCCTCCACATGCAGCTGCTGCTGTGACCTTGGGTTAGTCATAAGTTCTTTTAGAGCTGTTCTCTCAAGGGCAGTTCTCGAGAGAGCTCTCTCAGCCCCACCTACCTCACAGGGTGCCTGTTGTGGTGAGGGGAAGGGAAAGGGATTGTAAACCACTCTGAGACTCCTTCAGGTAGTGAAGGGCGGGGTATAAATCCAATCTCCTCCTCCTCCTCCTCCTCCTCCTCCTCCTCTTCTTCTTCTTCTTCTTCTTCTTCTTCTTCTCCCCCCCCCCAAAGCACACTAACATGGTGAGGGGGGTTGCATATACCAGTGAAGCTGAGAGCAATACTGTAAGGAGTTTAGGGTCTGTCAAGAGGCTAAACTCTTAGCACTCAAGGGGGAATGGTCACAGCTAGACACCAGACTAAGATGCACTCACCCCCCTCAGGTAACAACGGCCACAACAGCAGAAGAGAATGGACAGTTCCAACGGTGAAGGGGGCAGAGGAATCCTTGAAGGGTAGCTACTGGGCAGCAGCAGTAGTGGAAGGAGACACTGGCAGAGGAGGATCTGTCATAGACAACGATA